GTATACTTGCTTATGTGTAAGTCTTGTGCATGGTCATGAGCTATACAATTATGTACAACCAACAACTAGCATGTTGTGGGGGGGAGGGGTTTATACTGACACAAGGGGAGTGCAGTGTCAATCCATTATGTTTGTTTTAATAGTGTCTCATTGATCGTTGTTACAGATCAATCAGCCACCGAAGCTGATGGTGAAATTCTAGAAGGAATACTCAACAGGAAACATGAATGGGAATCTACCACGAAAAAAGCATCCAACAGGTAAAAGATACACTGTTGCTTTTAATTTTTTTGCATGGAACGATATTTTTTAACCTACATAATTATATTATAATATATAATGATAATTTCTTTAGAAATGTTATCGTTATTTACCTGTTTCTATTTATCTTATTAAGCTGTTATTGAAAAAAAAAATTATAATGGATCATTAATATTTATATCAAATTGTAATCCTCAGATAAGTGTATAACCATAGTCTGCTGTGCACTATGCACATGTTTGAGAGTGCGACATTTCTTCAAAAAAGTGGAATTTTAATGTTTTAAAAAATTATTTTTTACTTAATATTTTCTTATTAAATTATTTAATGAAATATAAATGTACTGACTGTTAGTTAGCCTCAAGGTCTAAGGGGTCCACAACCTACAACCTTCGTCAACGATATTCGTCGATCAAGAGACATGCAATTTTTTTTATCATATCTCAATTTTATGTTAAAATCAAAATTATTCTATTTATTAAATACAATTTTATTTTTAGTATCATGTTTGTTAAATTTTATTGATACGATCACGGATAGTCAGGGTTACGTATCTAGGCACTAGCAAAAGATCTCTGTAGTCAGGGGTGATGTATCATTAAAGGCGTAATTTTGGATCCATTTAATAGTAGTTTGAAGATTTTGATAACAATAAAAATTATTATTTTAAAAAACATAAATGTAAATATATACATGAATGAGTATATTTAGAGGCTCAAAATATAACGATTATATTCATATCTATCAAATAACTCAACCGTCTTAAACGATAACTAAATTTTGTTATGTTTACATTAGAGATTTTAGCCCGGTCCATTTCTACATTTTGGAAATTTTTTGCACCTATATTTAGTATGAATTTCCATGGCTTTATTTAAAACTTGCATGATATTGGTTTACACCTAAACCCAACATTTGAAGGGTCGGGCTGTCTCAACGTACATAATTTCATCATTACGTTGTTAAAATGTTTTTATTGTATAAGTAAATGATAAATTCAAGTTAAAATACTAATTATGAAAAAATAAGTCTTCTTCAATCAGAATGCTTTTGATAAATTTAGTCATCGTTTGAATTTTAAACTTCAAATGCTTATAGAAAAATCGTAGCGATATATTTCCAAAATTTTTTATCCATATACTTACGAACAATTTAGAGGAAACTTCGTATTACATTTTCAAACTTTAGATCAATCTAAATAATTTTTTCAGACATTTATAGAAAAACAAATTAATATCTTTAAATAACTATAAATAGTTCAAAAAGATTCAAAGTATTTTGAAATTTTTATCTTGTGTGGAATATGATCATATAAATTGTTGGTAAAAGTATGTAGTATCTAAGTTCATTCGTTTTTGATTAGATACAAAAAAAATATATATTGTCTATAACTGGTTTGCATAAAAATTCCCGTTTTTTTAAAAAAATTTACTTTCTAGTAGGGAATACTTGTACAGTTGTACATAATTAATAAATTTCGATAAAGGACATCAAGACTGTTAGTTGGCTAATACCTACTGACATTGGTATTAATAACCCACCTCATCTTCAATTTTTAATCAACATCATATTTTTTTTTTCAAATTAATTTGGCATCATGTACAGTTCCTCAGTTTTTCATAATTGGCCGTCTGAAAAATTAATAAAACAAATTATATGGAGGGGGGGATTATTTCTTATTTATAAATTAAATTATATACTTACACATATTTTCATGAAATTTATTGATAAAATATTTTTTTTTATACTTTCTTACTTTTTTAATATTTTTAAATGGTAAAGCATTTTCATATCATATTTTATCTCATTCTACCTTGCTTATTGTTTTCTAAATATTTTAAGTGGTATGAAGGCCACGTAAATCACATAAAATATATCAAATATTTACCCCCTTCCATCCCGTAGGATACTACTTCAATACTAAGTTGTGAGCATGATTATTGATGGTAATAATATAACGAGAGTTATATTTTTACTTTTTGTTTTAAGTTATATTTTATATAAATATTATTGCTTTTATATATCCGGAATCCTCCAAATGACGTATAAATATTAATAAAATGAGAAATAAAATTAATCGTGTTTACTATGATTTCATCCGTAGGTCTTGGGACAAGGTGTTCGTGTGCGTACAGGGCACCAGCTTGGCGTTCTACAAGGACGCCAAGGCAGCCAAGACGTCGCCGGAGACGTATTTCAAGGGCGAAGCGCCCATCGATCTGCATGGCGGCACTGCCGACGTGGCCACCGACTACACCAAGAAGAAGTTCGTGTTGCGCGCCAAGCTGGCCAGCGGGGCCGAGTTCCTGTTCCAAGCGCGCAACGATGCCGAAATGCGCCAGTGGGTGAGCACGCTGAAGAACGTGTGCGAACAGGACGCGGCTGGCACGCAATCCCGGTCACAGACGCTGCCCGCGGTCGGTGACAAACGCGACGAGCCCAAACGCCGCAGCTTCTTCACGCTTAAGAAGGTGTGAGTGTGATGGGGGAAACGCGAGATTGATCGTCATAGACGGACCATACAAGACCACCCCATCAACCACCATCCCCCAACCCCAATCGGTGTCGTCTGCGCTATCGTATTTTTTATTTTACGACCCGACTCCCAAACACGCACTCACCTCACATACGAACACATACACACACACACACACACCGCCTCCGACGACTCTCGCGTCGTATAAAATAATATTGTCTTCTCCTCACGCCGCGCGCGAGTCTCTTATTTTATTTTAATTTTGTTTCAACGCCGTTCGTGTGTGTTTACTTTTAACCTGCCTTTTATTTTATTATCATCATCGACGACAGCTATTTTAATAAGAATTATACTATATATATATTATATTTTATTCCTTTATACTCGCTTTGAAAATAAAAAAGTATATATAAATCTATGTACCTACTCGAAAAGAGGCAGCTCCCGATAACGTTAGGTTTTTTTTCACTCCATCACCAACGTTTTATTATTATTATTTTATATATATATATATCTATTCTATGTGTATACCAAATTAACCAAAACAATACCTACATGAATGTTTAGTTTTTTTTTATTTATTTTAGATCCTAGAGATGTTTTATTTATTTACTGTATTTTTATTTATTTTTTTTTTTTTTAACGCCTATTTACACCCGTTTAATATCTAATTTATTTATATACAAATCTTTTAAGCTAATATTTAATTGACACGTTGTTCATATTAAAGTATTATTTTTGTTATAAATTTAAATAACAATATGCCTGGTCGATAAATATTAATGAATAAAAAATATTTAGAGCAATTTTAGAATTTTTAAGAATTTTTATTAATTAATTTATATATATATATATATAATATATATCTATTGATTTATATATAAATATAATTTTTAAAATAACTTTATTTATTAAAATTACCTGAAAAGAAATTTTCTTATAGAAATCACACCATTTTTAGTTACCTCTAAGGCTTTAAAGTGTACATTTTAATACAATTTTGCTATATTTATTTTTAAATAATATATATAAAAAAAAAAATTCTATATAATATATATTATTCTACTATCCGGCGTTTGGTTCCTCTACGCTATTTTTATTTTGTGCTATGAGAAAAAAAATTGTTAATTTTTATGAGATGGAAATAAAAAGATAAATGATGAGTTTACAATATATTATATATATATGTGTGTATTTAGGTAGAAATATATACCTATGGATACTTTCAATGTTTATGTAATTAAAAGAAATTATATTTAACTTTGCTTAAAAAAAAAAAAAAATGATTTGTTTAGTGGATATAATAAAACTATCTTCAACGAAAATATTCAGTGTTCTTTTATTTTCTGTGTCTTCAGACATTGCCACATCTCATACCTGTGTCAATCAGCGTTGATAAAACGGTATATCAGTTTCATATATTTTATAGCTGACTATCCATCAATTGGGGTGGCTTCTTACAGCCACAATTTCAAATTTGATGAATACAAATGTCAAATTCTATTGTATTTTTAGGTGATTAAGAAAAAACAATTGTTTTCTATCATAATATAATGCTAACATGGTTGACAGTTGTCAAAGTTAATACATACCTACAAATCAAAATTTCCTGAAAAGTGAATGGTTAACTTATTCCTAAATCTGCGGAAATAATTGTTAAATAAATACATTATAATAATGTTTTGACTGAAAATAATCAATTTTTAAATCATTAGAAACAATCTACACTGTAATTGTTTTCAACATGAACCATAAAGTATTCTCGAGGCCAGCTGCAATGTATAGTAAGAATGGTAATAAATAAAACACTTGAATTAGCCTAAATAAAATATATATTTGATTTCATTATAATTAATATTACTCATACATGAACATAAAATATATACTTATATTTAATGTATACATAAAAAAACATTAGTTGACTCGCTCCGCTAGAAAAAAAATATACATATTTTTCCTTTCTTTTTATTTAATTTAAATACTATAAACTATATCAGTCAATACACACTTTGGAACCCGAAAAATAAAGAAATACTATGTTTCACTAAGTTATAAATAAAAATAAAAAGCAGAAAAAAGGGAAATAAACCAAATAAATAATATTGTACCAATGTTAAATTCTACACAAAATAAAACCCTAATTAATAATACAAAAGACCCGTGAAAAATCATGACGACAAAATTAAATATTAATATTAAGGGTAAACAATTTAAATGTTAGGGACTGTTGTAGCAAACCAAAAGTAAGATAATTGTGCGGAGGACACAATTTCTAATACAAATAGAAAACACGAAACAAGACCATGTGCAAAATGTACACATAGTATTCGACTGAATACAATTAAAAAATCGTTAGTGGTATTTATCAGTTCTATAATATCTTTGGTAAATATTAATTTTATACATGATTATGACTATGTTACAATATATTTTATTGCTAAAGAATAGGTATAAATTGAAATACTATAGAGTAGGTACAAGGTGATTTTCTCAATTCAGAGAACAAGTTTGTTTCGTATTCATCCTTAATAATTATGAGCTAAAAATACTATTCATCAGTAATATTTGAATAATATTAGGGTGTTTCATTTTTTATTCAGTCTTTGACTCGTTTGGCCTTTAATAGATTCTGCTATAAAGAGCAAACTTTGTTAATAAATATTAATTATACAACATAATTTGATTGTTTCTTTTTCATTACTCATTATCATTATTGGCACTCTTTATAATATATATATTCTAAATTAAAAACTTTATATATATATTTTACATTTCCTTTAATGTATTAATAAAAATATTATACTTCGGGTATACCAATATAAATTTAAAAATAATGAATTACAACCAGTAAAAATTAACCAAACATCAAACCAAGCCCTTCCCCCCTCTAGAAAAAAATATAATTAAATATATATTTATTTAATAATAATAATGACAAATTAATTAGTCAGTAACCGATCTCGAAAATGAGGTTAAAATTTAAACCTCCAAATGAGTCATGCGTGAAGCGCATCCGACAACATCAAAAAATTCACCGGCTGATGCTGGTGGAAATAATGGTTAAAGTGGTGATAAAGGTGGACCAGATGTAGCCTGATTCGTTAACTGATATGGAGATGGGAGATCCAATGAGATTTTATTTAGGAACGGCGATGTGGGAGGCTGCTGTATAATGTAGCCACCAGTTGTAGTGGCATTTGAAGACTGGTTAAAACAAGTAACTGGCGATGAACCAGTTATATAAGAACCAGTAGAATTGTTGACAGGCTGTACTGGAGCCGATTGTTGATGTTGTTGGTGTTGTTGCTGTTGTTGCTGTTGTTGCTGTTGACCAATTGCATTATTATTGTACACTTGATACGCACCTTGATTGGTCGTATTAGTGGTAGTTGAGTGTTCCTTATGGTAGATGTTAATGTGTGCACGTAAACTGTATTTGTTCTTAAACACTTTACCACACACACTGCAACCAGCTGGATTGTATTCGTCACTATGCCTAATCCGCATATGTTTTAATAAGTTAGACTTGTTGGAGATCACTTTTTGGCACAAAGGACATGGTCGGCGGCCTAGACGGTCTGTCAAAAAAAATTTTTTTTAGAAAATTAGTTAATATTAGAATGTGCATCAGAACTCATGAGAAAAATTGGACATTGTGTGACGTAGTTCGTGCGATTATCACGGTGGTTTCACCTGAGTACCATTTCACCAACACAAAATTATGATTTGTGTAATTAATCATTACTAAGTTATAAATACACTGTAATTTTCTATAATATTTTAGATAAAAAAGGCATAATCTTAATCTACGGCATGAATACTTTATTATTAATACTTTATTTATCTTAAATGTATTAAATAATTTTATTTTCTAAACATTAAATACAGTTGTTAAAATCAATGATAAATAACATCATAATAATCTAATACAAGACACATTGGAGCTTTTAGCTGGTCAGAAAAATATTGAACAAAAATGTAATCATAAGTTAAAATACTGATGTTTTAACATATCAATAAATATCTTGGAAGGTACGTTTCTTTAACAATGACTAATAACAGTGCTAAACTTAAGATTGTATATTATACACTTAACAATGTAAAAAATAGTAAAAATATAAATAATTTATTACAGAAACGTTATAAAAGAAACATAAACATATATTCTACTTTATTTCATGTTGTTATTATGTATAAAAAAAATGCACGAATATTATTATTCTAAGTCATACACTAAAATATAAATAAGAAATTGTTCTTTAGTATTTAAAAATGGACCTATAACTGTTTGTCAAAGTATAAGATACATTATGACATATTATACATCATTATTAAGCACTCAATTGTAATTGTTTCTTTTGTATCATTTATTTATATTTTATATACATAATACTATGTAATTGTAATACTATTTAAAAGCTTTTTATACATTTCGCAAGCCAAATAATGGAGACTTATCGCTTAGTTTTTGTCTATAACTTTATATTTAATCAATATAAAGTTACAATAATAATTGCCATGTCTTAAAGACAATATTGTACACTAAAAAAGTGTATTTTAAAAAATCACCGAACTGTCTTTTAATTGAACAAAAATATCTAAAATACTATTGCATGGAGTTTCAAATAATGATTTTCAATGTTAAATAATAAAATGTAAAATATAATAATAAACAAATATTTTAAGAACAAAAAAAATCTCACTGGTTATAAGTTTTTATACTTAGGAATTGCCAAAAATATAAATATTATTATATGTACTGAGATGTAACTATTAAAGAGTAGTATAATAGTGGAAATTGGTTCAAGTGATTTATATAAAGAGAAACTCAAACTTCAGAATATCACATAACGTATTACTATACTAGACATCTGAATAACTTAAGATATAAAATGCACAAAATGCATACTAAATAAAAGGTATATTTAGGAAACATGCTAAGTCACGATACAAATATAAGTTAAATAACTTGAAAATAAAATATCAATGCATAAAAAGTTTGTGTACCAAATGTACAAACAAAAAAGGTGGGCAAGTAAGTATTAATAATATGCAGTGGATAAGTGTTGAATGGGTCACTGTAATAGATGGTGTTAATTTTGAATTCCATGATATATCACGAGGTTTATATCATTGCATACAAAAATCGGTTCTGAGCGGAGATGGTCTGTCAGTCTATATCAAGTATATTTTTCATGTTATGTTTTTAGGTATTGCTATTACAGTTATTTATTTTGGTAGTAATATTAAGATAGGATGATTTCATTTTTGCCAAAATTATAACATTTTATATTATTGTTATTAACTTTTGAGTCAATATCAATCATTATCTTACCTTAGAACAGCCTGAAAAAGTGCATGGTTAAAATTTAACTTAAATATATCATTATGTATTGTAAAATTTAAAATGAACGTACAAGTTTTAAGTCCCTACCACAGTTAAAGATATAGGTCTATATAGACTAGAGTATATTTTTAATCGTGTCTACAAAAATTAACATCATTCTTTATTTAAATATTTAATGATTTCGACCAAATTTAAAATGTCAATTAAAAAATATTTTTTTTTAAGATCTATTAATTTTTTTAGTTTCAGTATGATTACTTATGAGTTGTTAAGAACCTTGCATTAAATTTTCAAGTCTTAGGTTTATGTTTAACTAGGTACAAAATAATTTAATTAATTGTTGTGATTTTAACAAATTTTATCAAAATTTGACTCCAAATATTCATAAAAAAAATCTCTAGGTATCTTAAATATTTTAAAGTAGCTATAATAACAACTTATGAGGAACTTTGCATTAAATTTTAAAAAATGTTTAGACCAAGCGAAAGATTTTTATGAATATTTAGGGAAAAAAACAAAAAAAATTGTCAAGGCAAATGAATAGCTCGAAAGTGTCAAAGTATTTTGAAAAATTGAACCATCTATATAAAATTCTGATATAAATATTTTTTAAAAATTTTAAGTCAAGTAGCATGTATGTATTATTTTTTTGAATCACAACCAAATAATAAAATTGATTTTGTTGAAAACTGGTTTTGGGTAAAAATTTCTGTTTTTCCTAATTATCTAAATAATCATTAGGGATTTTATTAATTTGAACCAAAGTACCAACTAAATTCACTTCCCTACCACAAAAGGTATTGAAGTTGAAAACCTAAGCACTGCTACAAAAGGTGTAATACACAAAATGTGACACACAAAAAAAAATCACACACAATCATTCATTGCTCCGCTCAGAATCTAAAATGTGGGTGAGCAATCACAAAAGGACCATACCATAGTATGTCATTATTATTTTGAACAAAAGTATAAGTGTACAAATATGTTGTTGATCAAAAAATCAACTTTTACTCTTAAATATAGTATAGTTCCGATGTTAGAGAATTAACATAAAGCCAGTTATTAATAAATATTATATTACTATTAACAATCAATATTATATTAAGTAATTAATTGGTGTTATATATGTTTAAAGATTGTTAATTATTGAATTTGTACATATTTGGAATGTTTAGTGCTCGAGACTCCCCCATCACAAACAATACACCATGCTCCGACTGACCGACAACCATTTTTGTCCACTTACACAAATTATGTCACCATTCATCACAATCTGACATTGTGCTCTTGTCGCATGTGCGTTTTGTACGCCTCGCGATACACAAATGAGCTGGGGCAAAGGTAACAACACAGCCGGCGCGTCAAGTCCGAATGCATTAAACGCACATGATACTTCAGCGACGACTGGTTGTTGTACATCTGTCCACAATGGGGGCAGTCCCCACACTGGGCCAGGTGGGATCCTGCAAAAATATGTGTGCCGCCTGCATGGCTTATAAGCCGTGAAATACATTGATTTCCAATAATATATGGAAAAAATTTGTTTTCGTTTACTTTTATATAATTAATAATTAAGTATACTTATATTCTAGTACATATTTATATATATATTCACATATGCAAATTTTACCCAATCATATACATACTATATATATATATATGTATATTAATTTAGAAAGAGTATAATACCTGCAGTTGTTAATGATTGTTCAGATGGACATTGATTTGCTTGAGCTGAAGATATAGCAAAATCAATACCACTAGCTGTACTTGTGTGGATATCTAAATAAGTTTATTTTAAATAAACTTCTTTAATGAATTTAATAAACAAAAAACTATAAAAAAAATTAATTACCTTTAGGATCATTCAACATACGAGAAGCAATTAATGACTTGTCAAAAATTGTGGTAGAATGTGAAACAAATTCATCTTTAACTATATCTACATCTTCATATTCATCGACATCAGGTCCTTGTGCATATGGATCATCACAAAATTCATCTTTTGATCCATCTTCATCAATATAACAGTCAGTATCTACATTGCCATCATCAATATCATCGACTTTTAATCGACTCAATATGTCAGTTTCACTACCAGTTGTTTCATCCTGTAAAATAATTAATTAGCCATTGTTAAAATTAAGAAATATTTAAACTTTAGTTCACCATAAACTCTGTGCCATTATCAAATTGTTTTTTTAATTTTACTGGAAGACATTTCTTTCGTTTTGCAGAAACTTTTTCACTGGGAGACTTTGGGGAATCAGATTTTTCTGTTGAAGTTGATGTATCATGTTTCTCATCTTGATTGTTATTGGTAGAAAGTTGCTGCAGTGGAGGCATGGCATTTCTCTCTAAACTCGTTCGGGTTGACTCCTAAAAAAAAATTAACCATTAACAAAAATTGTAATTACCCAAATGAAGAACAATATTATGTACTAGATCTGTATTTATTGTAGAAGCTGCACCAGCTAGACCTCTTATCTGTAGTAACTCTGCAGTCCGTAAAAATGATGCTAGTTTTTTCTCTGATATGTAAACAGTGCCTTGATACACAAAATTGAGCAATGCCTGAACATCATCTTGATTTATATCTTTCAATATTACGACTGGATGTCTACAAGGATTATCCTAAAAAAAATAACTAGGATATTAAAAAATGAACAAAGAAATCCATTACCTTTAAAAGAAACCAAATTGAAAATTTAATGCAGTATTCATAAAACAAAGTCTTTTGGTTTACCTTGAACACATTTCGAAAGTAAGTACTGCACATAGACAACACAACTTTGTGAGCTTTGAACAGCTGCCCATCACATGATAAAGTTACATCTACCAGGTCTTCACTAGTACGAAGGCTGTCCAACTCGGTGACCATGTTCAAAGGATAGTTGTTCCATTTCAAACAAAAGTGATCGGCAGTCATTGTAAACCCGAATCAAACACAGACGACAGTTGTTATAATCACCAAACCCTAAAGTCGCCAAACAATAACAATGAACAATACAATGTGTGCAAGCGTTGTACAAGTGTAATTTGTGCATTTGTTCATCCGGGCACATTTGAATATACAACATTTTGTATGAAAATGTGACACGGGGTGGTTTTAATATATGGGTAATAGTAACAATACACATTATTATACACCTATACATTATGGGAAGTGAGTGAGCAAGTGTGTGTGCGTTGTGCTTGTAAGTATATTGTTATGTGAAAACAAGAAATGGTAGACTTACAGTACTTGTGGGCTGTTCTGAGACATCCGTGTAATGGACGCCAAAACGTCGTTCACGTTTGACGTAATAAATAACACGCAAAGGACGAGTCCATTAATACACCGAGTACCGACAAATATGAAATAACAATCAATGTTCTATTTAAGTTTTAATTATTTCTTCTTTTTATTATTATTATTATTATTATTATTATTAATAACAATATTAATTAAATTGTTCTTATCTAACACGATGCAGGGTGACCAATGGGGGGGACAAACTCAAAACTGAACGCACACTGTGCGGCGTGCGCACACGTTTTTTTCGATTGGCCCGATGGTCAGACGATTTAAGATATGCATAGGGACATGTTATTACATACTACATAGGTATTATATTTATAGTATTTACTATTACTCAATGAAGATATTATACTGTAGACGATAGAACAATAATTATTTTTATACGGCCGTTGGCTAATGATTATGATAAATTGGTATATTATTGATTCAATCTTATATGGATTTGTCTTTAAAAAAAATGTATTAAGATATATTTTTATCTTTTATTTTATTATGTGGTATAATATCTTAAATTTTCGTAATTGTCGAACTATAATAGCTATAGCTGAAAGTGTTAAATAAAAAAAAATATCTTAAATTCGAAATCGGTGGAGGGTAGCACGGCTATCTAACACCATAAACGATAGAATTATAAATATTTCCGACATGACAGTCTGTCTACTGTCTACTGTCAACTGCCATGTGATTTCTCTCTATATGCGCTGTCCGTTTATAGGTATATGGATAACACTAACGACCAATGGTTAGGTTCTTGTTAACTTTGAAGTCCATATGGCTATATGACATAACCGCTAAAGGTGAGAGGATAAGTATTGTGCAAACGGATCACCCCCAAATGGTGACAGCGACAATACAAAACTATCTAATATACCTTATAATATGTTAAAAGCACCAGATTAAAAAAATGTATATAATTTGTACCAAAAATATTACGATTTAATTATATTTTATATATTTCAAAATATTTTAAATGGTCCTAGAAATGGGACAGGTAGTTGCTAATGTAAATAAATTAATAAAATATTTTTTATAATACAAATTGTCTATTTAAAATGTTAAACTGGTTGACTTTTTAATCCTAGGTTTTTCAGATATTCTATTCTTAATTTTGAGTATGAATAAGAAGAATTTATAGTTTATCCATAATTAAATATGTTTTCATTTTGTAATTTTAGTAAGACATTAATAAATAACTTTAATAATATATAAACTAAGCAATAATCAACATGCAATTGGTCTTTTAAATGCTGATGATTCATCAGCTAGGCACATATTTTGTAGTTCGCATAATATCCTTAATCCTTATTTGGAATTTACGACAAAATATCTGAAGGATTTGTACTAAAATCAATGTACCACTATCTATAAAATGTAACCATTAGCCATTTATCTTAAATATATCTGTATATTTGTTAATTAAATAAAATGCCTTTGTAAATAATATAATTTACGTGAACTATGAATACTAATTGGTTAGGTCAAATAATATTACTGTAGTATAATAAATTATGATTTATAGATTTATAGATTATTAAAAGTTAATTTGAACTATCGTACTACTTATAAATCACCTACTAATAGCAATATAAATAGATAGTAAAAATATCTTATGAAATATGAGCTGACGGCCTGTCTCTGCTCAGAATATTTTTTCATTGTATATAATTATTATATTTTGTTCCAAAAGAAAATATACAGCCCAACGAGTAGTTTTCAGTTGTTCATACAAGCTAACTTAACAGGATCGTCAAATAATATCAGCTTTGGAATTTGGATTCAACATAAGTGGGTAATTCAGAGTTAAGTAACTACACTACTGTAACCAGTACCGCAGCTAGGAATTTTTTTTTGGGAGGGCTACAAATTTATATTGCTATAGTCAGGGTATTACTGGGTATAGTAGTCTGATATTTCAGGGGGGCTTAAGCCCCCTCCCTAGTTACGACACTGTATCTGCCAGTTAACATGTGTGAAAACTGGCTATTGTATTTTGGAATATAGGACAGTGCCAATAAATTGCGAGTAAATATCATAATGAAATACTATTTCATTTCTGTAAATTGTCACTTATTAAGTTTCACTACTTTATTATGCTAAAACAAACAGTATAGGTTGGGTTTGTGAAATGTTAATGATCGATTTGCCCATTACACAACAATACAACATTACTATTATGTATTAATTTTTTATTATTTACACAACCCCTAAAGTACCTAATTTGTTTTAAGAATGCAAATTTATGTGACTGCACAAATTATGTCAATCTTAACTAATGAAGTATTAAGATCAATGATATATGTAACTAATAAATAATTAAAATTCATAAATACATTTAACTTAAAAATAAAAAATATAGTCATGTACCTAAAGAATTTCGGTCTGCTCACTGTAACTTTTGGGGGACTAAAAAAAAAATCATGTACTTAAATATTTAAAAAAAACATAGTTAGATATGGAATTATACCAATATTCTCAATTGAACTGTCAGATTCAAGTCTTTTCTATTAGTTATATTTGTCAGTTGTCACATGACTACTTGGAACATTCATAACAAATATAAACACATATATTTAATATTTATACATATTTATTTTATACTTATCAATACATTTTGAACAGTTAAAATTATTAATTGCTTAAATAAAAATAAATGTACAACAGTCAAAAGTTTATAGTAAATTTATACTTAACATTACTTAATTTTGTTTACATACTGTAAAATTTGTTTTGCTTGGTTTGCACACATAAAATTTGATACAACTTCTGGTGTTAAAAATGATTGAATATATTTTGTGTATGTTGAACGAGATATATGACCTGAAATCATAATGAATACAATTCAATAATATTATAATCAATAATAATATTTTATTCAAGTAACATTGCATTTTAAACAATACATTTTAACTTTTTTCACCCCAAACACTCAACTAATTACTAAAGAATTCAAAAAATATTTATTTTAGCCAAATTTAATTTAAAAAGTTATTATTTTGTGCCTAAATTATGATGAATAAATTATAAACCTGTGTCAGATTATGAATTAAATAATCAAAAAGGAATCTCTTCAACACTTCACTGAATTAGACAAAAATATGCTGTCTTCATCAGAAAACATTTGAAATTAAATTAGGTAAATTAAAATAATTAGTATCAGTTTTAGTTAGCAAAAGTGATAAATAAATTATAAATTTAATTATAATATGTTTAATCATATTTTCTAGTATTTCCGAATTTGTCATAATGAATAACACTGTACATTGAACTGGGAGTTCAATTTCTTGAAACATAATACATTTAATTATAAAATTATATATTCCTATTTACTAAACCTAAATAAGAAACCAGAACTTGATAGTAAAATAAAAGTAAAATTGTGCCATTCTGTGAGTTTTCATATTTACTAGTGCACATTGATACAAAAATAAAAACACATGTGATATAATATTGTGTCTACATTTTTACTCTGAAAACTTAATTGCAAAAACAAATTTGAGTGGAATTTACAACAATATTAAATATACATTCTATCATACTAACCATGTTCCTGTTTAAAACTAATCCACAACTGAGAAATATTGGGTTGGCCTAGATTTTTCTTGGCACATTTGAAAATCTAACAAAAAAAAATAAGGAAATATAATAACATTATTTCAAACTTGTATCAATAATCAGCCCAATTTAAAATATTCAACTCACATTAGGAGACTTCAAGATGCTAAAGAAATGCTCTTTTATCGCAACTTTTGTTTCGTCGGGTATGGTCAATCGGTTATTATGTTTCCCACGATTGTCAGTAGGTATTATATGCCCTATTGTCATTTTCATGCATAATGTTCGTACCAGTGATAGAGTTGTATCGTGCAGGGTGACAAATGCGCTTTTGCACACAGATCGATTAACTCCGTAATGCTTAACTGCATATTGGAAATATTTTGAAGACTTGATGATTTTTGTGGCGTTTATCTTGTTTTCATCAATGGATATCATCGCGAACAGATAAATGTGTTTTTCAAATCTTTGCAGCCGTGACATATCCATCTTAAGGCGATCCTTAAATTCATCATCAAACGTCAACAGGCATTTGTTTGAGCAGCAAATATCGTCGACGTCGGTATCGAGTGATTGATTATTATCATATTCCGCTTCCGAGTCGTCATCTTCCTTAAAATCAGTGTCATAGTCGTCGAGATCCATGGTTGTCGGTTAAATCTTAAAAATAATTTTTCTTTACATTTTATTATTATTTTATTACTATAGATATTAATAATTTCATAATAAAAAAATATTAATAAAGTTCAATGCTCTGTCGCTCAAAGATCAACCGTAAAGAACAAACACCAAGTCACTAAATCGAGCAAATACTAAATCCTAATTCGTATTAATTTCATAATACACATTATTTACGTGAACCGACGCGATGGCTGATACGAACGACAACGGTTCAGTCGTTGACCGTTGTTACTGATCATTTTACCCGCTAAATTTTTTGGGAACTCAGACCTTTTGTTCGAGCCGACCGTTGGACGAGACGTTATCTAGGTCGAATGCAACCGCGTTTAAAAAAAAAAAAACAATACAAAGTTTTCCTTTCGGCTTTAGATGTGTTTATTGCCTAATATAATTAATATTATGCATTGTATAATAAGATACTATATAACGTGGTTTGAGAATAGTAAAAAATCCATACCCCCTTTTCCAAAAAACACACCACTGTGGGTCTGTGGACTATGTTGCTTTTTAAATTTGCCATCTCGCATCTGGTTGAACAATTGTTGCACATTTATAGATATGTGCTATTCTTTGTACTTCTTCACATTATTCGTGTCTTCCTACTTGTTCGTTATTCTCAATCTTTTTAAGACTTAAAGTTCTCCCTGAGTGAACCTTGTAATTGAATAAGTCATTATAATCGTAATGTATGTGTTAAATTTGAATTCAACGATAAACTGCATACGAAGAACGATTCCAAGTCTGAGCGAATGCCGAAGACAGTCATCACTCATCAATCATCATATATCTTCAAGAATATTTATTTATGTTTATTTAATGAAACATATACATCACCTACTTCCTATATTTATTATATTATTGTTATTCACTTTTAAATCAATACTGACATTAACCGTAGAACGGTGCGTATTTCTTCCTGAAATCGTGGTATAAATTTAAAATAGACAATAACATACAATAATATTCTAAAATATGTTTTGAAAAACATAGTGACATAGTGTATAATGTAAATTATAATGAAATAAAGTATACGTAAAATCTTAATACCTTGACGAAAAATATTTTTAAATCACAATTACTCAACTATAAATCATTATTCCTCGTTCAAGTAGGTTTCTAATTTCGTTCAAATTTAACTTTAAAATGTTTAAGATTTAGCTTATAAAAAATGAACATTTTGTAAACTTACAACTCAAAAATAATTTGCAACATTTTCTTAAGTGATGAACGTTGTCATAATTTAAACTTGAATGCTTAAAAAAAATCAAGTTTCCTTACTTTAGTTTAGAATTACAAGCACGTTATTACCTTCTGTACCTACTGTCAACACACTTTTACTACGTGCCTACCATCGTGGTGCGTGTCATATGTGTCAACGTGTGAGGTAGTTTAATCACAGAAATAAAACATGAAATACGAATAATTATGAAATTATTGAAACTCGTCTACAGACTTTTCGTGGTTGTCACTAATAGTCAACAGACGGCATAATAGTATATTATGATCCTAGGCGGACGGTAACCAAGTCGACGTTCGGACTTGTCAGCAGTGTGAGAGCAACAGCTGTTAATTGTTATGCTCATGTTGTGGAGGGAGGGATAACAGAGTCGTGGTATCACAACAGAACCCAATATTATCAGTTGTATTCTAATGATAAACTGGAACTACGGCGGCCAATAATAATATAATAATCGACGGGAGTAGGCGGCTTGTCAATTGTCGGCACTCGGCAGCGAGCACCAGCACGGCAGCACCCGAGGAACCGTAATCGAGTGCGGTCGTTCTCGTTCACTTCATCGTCTCGCCCCCGTACTCGATTACGCGAGCACGCGGTCACACTCGTCAGTCGTCTGTAGCCAGGACGCGCAACATTCGCACGCGTGCGCTAGTCCGGTCGCTTGTTTTTGCTGCGGAAATACATTTTTTTTTAGCTTTTTGTTTTTTTCTCCCTCTCTCTTTCTCGCCATTTTGTAATTCCCGCAAACACGCGACGGCAACAATCACAATTATAATAATATACGAACTGCGAATAATAATAGTAACAACAACTGCCGCGCGCAATGAATTCCGTCGGAAAACCATCCGAGCAGTCGTTTTGCTCACATCACCGGTGTGCCGCCTCCGTCATCGTGCGAATGGCCTCCTCCAAGTTTGGACACAACGAGTGAACGACATCATCGCCGCCGCCGCCAACAAAAGTCACATGGTCCTCACGCCACAACCGTCGTTAAGCAGCAGTTAACACTTGCACGCGGTTCAGTCTCGTCCTTCTCCCCTCGTCGTCTCGTCGTCACAAAAATATTCGCGATGGATGGCAAAATCAAGAAACTCTACAAAATCGTACTGACCGGCGGTAAGAACGACCCCCCTTCCCACACACGTGTATCGTGGGTATTTTGAATATTTTGTAGTTGCCTATTGCTTTTAATTGATTTAATCGGCATGACTCAAAGGTTTTATCGTGATAAGTACATTTCGTTGGTACATCCTACCCACCAGATTTCGAAAAAATCAACTTACGTGTTCAGAGAAATTGTCAAAACAATTTTCCGTTTCCATCCCCATAAGGATGGTTAGGTATGATGTCTGGAGTCTACAAAATACTGATATTATGGTAAATGGTTTCTCAAAGGTCACAATGATAAATTCGACGGTTTTGTATAAATACCTCTACGGGGGATGTGGAACACCCCGCTCCATCGTTTCGTTAACGCAATAAGTGTCTGGGGTAGGGGGAAGAAAAAAATTAAATAACCGTCTCGCCCACTTCCCACCACCGTCCGCACTTTGACTACGCCGTCTTGCCCATTCAGCGTTTTCCAATTAATAAATCAAATCGATTTTGTCTGTTAAACTCCAGTTACCTATGACTAAATTATTGTACAAACATGAAGCACTCGTATTTTTAGTATAATATAGTATATAGGAAAACATACATAGTGACATAGAGCCATATAGGTATGTACTCGAGGGTTAGTCCTTCAAAAACTGTTTGCTTATTAATTGTTATTGACTTCTTCCACCGATAATATTATATAATTAATTACTATACTTATAAGTCGATTTTCGCGGAAATTGCACATTTCGTTCACAACTTATTTGGCAATACCAATTAACCTTAACGAGGAAATGTACGGTACAATGAAAGAAAAATCGGAATTTTAGCTCAAAACTTCAGTATTCGGCAAAATCGATTTTGTTTTTTTGATGAAACTCAATAACGAATAACCTTATTTATTTGAAAATAAATTATTTCAATATATTTTGAATATTGAATAATCAACATTTTCAAATTTATTTAGTTGACTTTTCTATAAAATATGCCAAATGTCCAAACACATTTTGGTGATTCTAAAAGCAATTTAATAAAATGTTCATTATAAGTTATTCAATTATTTACCTATAAAAAATATTGAAAAATAATTAGTCACAATACTTTTTTACAAGCATTTAGTGAAGTTAATTTTTTTTTGTTATTTGATTTCACCCTTAAAGTAACTATTATAAAATATAGGTATAATTGATTTTTTATATTTTGTTGTAATTCAAATACGAATAACCTCGCAAACAACCGTAGATTCTTAATTGTTTGTCCTAATGTTTAAATTAGCATTTTGTATATTCAGCAAATTTTTAAAATTGTATTTTTTGAGTTATTTATAGATACCTATTTAAAAATTGAATATAATTTTTTATCTATTAATGACGAAAAATAATTCATTTTGCTAAAAACTTTTGAAATATTATACAAGGTTCCTTATAAGTTGATCATTTACTTATCAAAAATACACAGGTACTCACAGATTAAGCTTAGCATTTAAAGATAATATTTTGATAAAATTCGTCAAAATCACGAAATTGGCCAAATTATTTTTTAGTAAGAAATGTAAAAATGTATGATAGGTTCAATTTTTATAGCAATAGCTTAAAAATGTAATACAAGGTGATAAGTAGTTCATACTGTAACCAAAAACATCACTGATAATTTTAGTATAATATTATCAATAAATATGCAAATGCAATTTTTTTGGCAAAAACGAATTCAACCTATCTGTTGTTAGCAATATTAATATAATATAAAATATCCTGTCTGACACACCGTCTCTACTTAGAATCGTTTTTGGTATACAATGATATTTCATTGAATTCAAATTTAACACATCCATTTCAGCTACTCACTTAACGCCTACTACAGCAAAGTATTTTTTGAACACTACAATTTATTATAGGTAGTTCAAAGTCTATATAGTTATCACTTGATTTTGTTGTTGGTACAACTGCGGTCATAAGAAATGTTTTGTAAAAAAATAAAACATTTTTATAAAGATTTGTATTATTTAATTTCTTTGAAATTTATTTTTACTAAACCAGGTGCATGACGATATAAGATATATTACTATATTAGATGATACACTCTGCATGAAAGAAACATACACATTTACTGAGAAATGAGGACAGCGTGTCAAATGTATATATTTAAGTTTTATTATTTATATTATATTATATTTTAAAGGTCATAAATTAGAAGATTTTTTCTCAATCGTACTATATAATAAATTATGTTCGGAAAAAAAACAAACCGACAGGTACTCAAATATTCAATATGGTATACCCGCGGTATTATAGGTGTACGTCTACTTATGAGTTATAACTTATAAGTTTTAACCATTTATTGAACGAATATATTAGGTAAACATATCTCAAGGTTAACATTGAATTTTTTTTTGTTTTGTTAGGGTTTAATAATTTGTTTGTTTATATACCTAGGTATAATTTATCCAGGTAGGTAGTAGATCGATTAGGTATATTTTTCATTGTGTGCGTTATCCAGCACGCTTTGTGAGTGCAATCGTGATTTTCGTTTTTTTAATTTTATTATAGTTGTGGTTGTATTATCGAGGGTAACATCTTAGTTCTTATAATGCGTAATACGTGTATTTGTTGTTTTTTTTAGCCGTGTTCAAGTATTCTACAAAAAAGGTATTATCATTAATTTCCTTATATGATGTATATTACTAGGTAGGTACTAATACTAGGTGTGACATTAGAGGAGTAACAACAATTTAATTTTAGGATTTCTTTATTCATCTTTACAATAGTAATAGAGTAATAATTACAAATTAGATTTTGTTGTATAGAGATAGAGGTATATTTTTTTTTTGGGGGGGGGGGGGGGGGAGGGCTATAATATTTCATTGTTAGGGCTAGGATACTACAGGGTATTGTAAGTTTGATATTTCGGGAGGGGCTTAAGCCTTTAAGCCTCCCTGGCTACAGCACTCCTTAATTGTAAATACCATATAATTGTATAAAAAAGAGAGGATAACAGTATTTTTAAGTTTCATGGTAAAGTCGTAAAGTAAACATTGGAAATCGGGAAATTACGTTGGTCTTTTCTGTGAATGCTAGCATAGGTATTATATAGGTAGATAAGTGGTAATATAAAAAATTACTACCAGTGAAACAAAAATATTATTTACCTATCATTAATTAATACAAATAGTAAAAGGTAATTAAAGATTATAAATAGTAATCCCCCGGCAACTTTAATGGTTGGGATAATGTATCAATATTTGCAACGTTATTTTATTGATTGGATGCTCGTAAGTCTGGATTTCACAGTAAATTTCACTCTGTTATGAAAAACAAAAAAATTGCAATCCATGGTAAAATGTAAAAGTTTATTCAAATCAAAAACAATTAATCTGTACCGTACGTTAGATTAGAAGTGATTTTCAATTTTTATTAATGTTATGTATTATGTATAATGGATTTTTATTGTTTAGTACCTAAAACTATTAAAATATTATTTTATATTATATTATTATAGCTGCTTAGTCAATATCGACTTACGGTAGAACGATACGATTACATTAGACATTTTAAATTTTAATAGCTAAGGCTAGTAATCATAATAGGTACAACACAAGTTTTTTTACAGAAACATTATAATCTAGTATAAAAATGTACGTTTACATTTTTTTACATTCATTTTAACGAACATTTTCAGTTCTAATGTCGACAAAATCGGAATTAAAACGAAAAAAATCGAATAGGTGACACTTTAGGTGTCTATAGAGACTAGAGAGTCACTGTAATAGATATGTTAAATTTGAATTCAATAATCATTGTATATCTACGAAAAACGATTCTGAGCAAAAACGGCCTGTAAGCCCATAATATTACTAAAATAATTTATGATATTATTATGATGTAATGAATTTTACTATTATGCTAATACCTAAGATAAACGAACATAATTTCGTCAAAATGTAACCTCGAAATATAAAACGTATATTTTACATTTATATTATTATATTTTTGAAAAGAACAATACTTATAAGAAATCTTGTTTATACAAACTTAAACTAGAAATATTGAAACTCTTATGGAATTTTAACTAAAAAATAATTTGCTAATTCTTTGTTATTATGAAAAGTTGTTAAAATTTGAACTTAAATATTCATTAAAAAAAAGATAAGGGATCTTGCATAAAAATTCAAGCTTTTTTTACTGAGCATAAACATTTTAATCAACACTAAAAAAAAATTGCCCAACATTTCAAATTTCTGTGAATAGGTAAGTAGCTTTAAGTTAGTTCACATATTTTGAAAATTTCATCGAGTACCTACCTACCTATAGGCTATAGCAAATGGTACTCGTGTTTTGTGTAGTATATGCTACCTACCAAAAAACTTTACGGGCGTTTACCGTAGTTTAACTTGGTACTAATTATTGATTAATAACAATGTTTTAAACTAAATTTACTTAATGTATTGCCGAAGATTATCAAGTATTTTAATACGTTATAATTTGTTGTTGTTTTTATGTCATCTCATAAAACTTCAAATTAATTGTCGTGTTGTGCTAAATATAATAGTTTATATACATTTGGATTACTTACGTTAATTCAGTCTTTGAATTTGCAATATTTTATTGTATATTACACTCATCCAAATAATGATTCCATAAAATAACTTGTGATTTCTATTCATCTTGTGATCTAAATCATTAACGTCGTTAGCATAAAACTTGACAAGTTCTTTCTGGTTTTCATCATCAAATGTTGTACTTTTAACTTACTACATTTTAAATCCAGTTATGACATTTTGATGATTAACAAAATGATCATTTAGTTGTACAGACAAATCAAAAAGAGTATGAATAGAGTAATTCTAAAATATTCTTTGGAATCTTTTGCTTGTATATTATTAAATGGGTTTGTTTGGCGCTTGGATAATTTTAGGCATTTATGCTTATGGTGAATTTAAAATCTTTCAATATTTTATTAAGGCCAATAAATAATTTGTTAAATTCAGTCAGGACATTTTCTCTAATAAAATGTAATTGGTT